TTTTTTTTTTTATTTTTTTATTTGTGGAGGGGGAGGGAGAGAAGCCAGAGGCATATTCTTGCTTTATAGTTCTCATCGCCCAAACATATATCAAGACTAAGGATGAGATAATTTTGTGCGGACAGGAATGGGAGTTCCTAATACTTTGTTGTATATATAGCTAATTTGTCTTTAATCTCCTGTCGTGTCTTACGTATCTATTTCTACGCTTTTATCCCATTACGCCATATAATTAGGCGGGAAACTACATGGGAAGCAGAAAACATGACTCTCCTGTCATGTCTATTGATTTAAGTCCCCCCCTGTGGCTTTCAATGTATATTTGGTGCCAGCAGAATCGTCTACCCTGATGACAATAATTTCCAACGGGGATATACAGGTGCAGAGATATGTAAAATGAGGTGAGAGGCCTTTGTTGTCCTCTATTTGGTTCTTTATTCTGTTATATACATGTAATGCTTCCCCTCTCCTCTATGTATGTTTACACAGTAATACGTTGCTGAAATTCGGGGGAAAAAAGTTCAATGATCTTACTCTATCAGTCTTATGCAAGCTTTCCAAGGCTGGCGTTTCATATAACTATTACCTTTCCTATTTCCTCATGGTGATTTCTTGTAGAGATCTGTGGGTGAACCCTGAGAGAAATAGTCAGTATGATGAAACGGGGGTTTGTCATCCTTAATTTCATTAACAGCTGCTGCATCCAAAGGATATGGAACCTACCTGATGCTGAGGGAATATTAGGGTATCCGCCATAACGACATTCTCTCTACGGCCAGCAGCAAAGACAACAATTTCGGCGATGTCGTCACCCGTGAGAGGTTCACAGCCACTAAGGTTTCGTTAATCAGAGACGTTCCAAGTGCACATTCGGAGGGGCGATTGGTCTTGTGTTTTATACTTACGCATATACGGCATCGGCTTTGGCCTTGTCTCCATAGAACCGAACAAGGGAAAACTCCTTTTCCCAAGAAAATTCCATTAGCAGGTTTTCGATTGTTCAACAAACAACCCGGGTAGACAATTTATTGGATTTATAGGGTGTATTGTTATACCGTCTCCACCTGGCCGGGGTCAATCTCAATAACCCGAATTCTCGTTGCAATCAGCTCCTTTCTCAAGGCATCCGTGAAGCTTCGAACTGCAGCCTTGCTTGCGCAGTATATGCTGCCACCAGGATACGACACTCTTCCAGCAACGCTTCCAATGTTAATAATATCGCCACGACCTCCTCCATCTCTCTCTTTGAAGATAGGCAGGATCGCCTGGGTCATATTTATGAGGCCAGTGACGTTTGTGGAAAACATAATATCTATATCTTTTGGGTCGATTTCAGGGGCTTTGGCGACACCTTTGACAAGTCCGCTGTTAAGTTTCATCGATATCGTCAATTATCTAAAATGATAATAATTCTTCCGAGTGTAAAACAAAAGCACAAAAGCAATTTATCCCACATCAAACACTTGGGGTACTCACGCATTATTAACCAATATATCAATCTCCCGAAATTCAGCTGGCAAGGACGACACGAAGTTGTTGATTTGCTCGGGGCTGCTAACATCTAGCTGGACTGGGAAGACTTTAACACCATCACCAACTTCCTCCTTGATCTCGTGTGCGAGTTGCTTCAATGAGTCAATCCGTCGGGCGGTAACAATCAATTTGAGGTTCTTCGGCGATGTCCTTGCAAATTCCTTTGCCGTGCTTTTTCCAATACCGGAGGATGCGCCCGTAATCACAATAGTTTTGCCCTCAAGGCGTTTCCCCATTGCCGTGGCCATGGTTCGTTTGATATATGACTGTTTCGCAAGTTCCGCAATGGGGCTGCTGCGAAATGTTGACGTTAATGAAGGGGCAAATGGCCGCGAAGTGAAAAGTGCGAAGTTACCGATTGCACGGCTGTAAAATCGGAAACAGTACATATGCGATATATAGATAATGCAACTAAAAGCAATGCTGAAAATCGGTATTTAGAGATGATAGAATAAACACCTGTGCACGGTTATGGTGGAGTCAATTTATTTTCCCCCGCATGGTTACTGGCGGAGATTCTATTCGGGTTTCGGTAGTATAGAAAAATACGGCTTAGTCAGCCATCAAAGCGATTAGCCGCGCGACAATTCGATCAGTTTAGGATATTTCAACCTCATCTTGACCCAACTTTGCAGACAATGATGCCGGGTTTCAGCAGCATTTGTCAAAACAAATGTGGCGTGTTAATTAACAAGATCATACACGCTGTTTCTTTCTTTATAAAACCCATGTTCTCACGAATGGGGGAACCTCTTTCGGCGTGATTGAAATGTTTCAATCTTCTCAAGTTTACAATATGGGCAAAAAAAGAGAAAAAAAATTTCATTTTCATTATGGCTGGCAGCTGGGAGAACTACCTGCGTGATTGCTCTCCTGAGGAGGTTATATACCCAGTCGCTCAATCAAGCAGGGTATGTGTACCCGATCAACTACTTTTAAGCAGTTAGCCCAGCCTAAGGTTGCATTGTTTGTTTCCGTTCCTCGCTTCTGTTCGCTTGTAGGAACAATTTCCAACTATAGCTGGGTTAAAATCAGTTGTGAGTTTTTATCCCTCTATTGTCGCCCTTACTCTCCTAAAATGGATGGGCAAATTGGGTGCCACGGGAGGGCCACTTCATGTTGTTTGTCCTCCTGGTTTGGCGTCTGGTGTCTTTGGTTTTGAGATACTATGAAAGAATCACCTAAGCAAGAGGATTTAATAATCCTAGAATACCTTTTTGCCATATAAATCTATGGTAATAGAAATATATTAACTTTCCCCCACTCTCTGGCCTTGTTGGAGCCGATATTTAGAACTTAAGGTTCTTTGAAGCCACGAGTTCGTGAAACTCCCTCTAACTATCTGTGAGGAGGGCTTCCAGGAATGTCATTTGCCGCTACAAGACATCTTTCCCTCCTTCCACTCAATCTGTTTTGTTAGGGACCTAGTTCTTCCTGTAACCGTGTTATTCTTTTATTTTGTTGACCAGTGACAACCCAATTTTTCTTTATATGCTTTGTTCAATTTTAGACTCACTTCGTTGCTGATCGGAAGCCAAACTCTCAAGACAAAGATACGTATTCTTTTCTTGGTCGAACAAGCTCGAAGTTTCATTCCTGGCTTTCTTTGCTCTCTCTAGGTTCTCAGCGTAAGGCTAAAAGTTGATGGATAAAGTTCCGGCACTTTAAACAGCCCCATTGTGCTTATTACCAGCTACATCATTTTCGTGACCTGGCCACCTTACTGACATTGCTTCTACTAAACGAATTCCTCATAGCCATGTTACTTGGAACCAGGCCTAACACGCAACATCCTCAAACTAGTTCTAAGAGAAAGTCAACAGACGTTGATGAATTGTTCGATACAGAGCATTTTCCACCAGTATTCGATAATTACTGGGATGACCAGAGCCAGTATGATCTTGGACTATGTGCAGTTCGTCAGATGGACGTTTCTCCAGCCTCGGTCTCTGATAACCCAACGGCAGCCTCTTCGAGTGTTTCTGAGCCAAATGACATTGAGGCCTCGCCCAGAGGGAAAAAGCTTTACTATGAGGAAGAGCTTGAGAACTCCCTCGCATATCCTTTTGAGGGGACTAATAATGTCGGAGCGGCTGCTTTGGACGATATTTTAAGTCTTCTCAAACCGGAAACATTCAACTGGGCAGATGATGTCGAGGATTCTGTTGAGTCCGAAATGGATGACCTGAACAATACACCACTACTCTTTGTGGTAGATTCTATCGTCCCACCAAA